AAATAAGTCGAACAAACAGGTGATAGAGGAAGAAAGTGTAGATGGCAATCACGAAGGGGAATGGTTTAGTGATCCACCATAACAAGGCCGAGGAAGGGGAAGAGGTGCTACTTTCGGCACCAAACCAAACACCAAAGGACCAGGCCTCTCGGGGGTGGTCGGTAGAGGTAGGGGACGACGGAAAACCAACCGGAAGGAATAGGGAGGGGAGTAGTGAAGAATGCCGAGTCATGGAGAACTAAAGAACCACAACCGTTCAAGCATAACTGGGGGTACAACAAGTTTGAAGGGAGTAACGGGGGGTACAACAAGTTTGAAGGGACCATCCGTCGGGAACCAGATCCATCAAGGCTGTTCGAGGTTCATGATAATACATGATACAAGGACAACCAGGAGGAGATGGGGTACCGGGGTAATAGGGTACCAAGGTTTGCAAAGATGGAGTCTCCTGTATATGAGGGTAAAACTGACTCGATAGAGTGGCTTCAAAAGTGCGAGGATTTCTTTGAAGAACAACAAACCCCTACTGGTGCTTGGGTTAGGCAGGCAACATTTGCTCTTCAGAGACGTGCCAGCAGTTGGTATCACAACCTCAGGAGAATGAGAGACAGATTGAATTGGTATGAATTTTCAGAAGAGTGTGAAATCCGGTTCGGTCCACCTATGAGCATGAACCCACTAGGTGAGTTAACTCGCTTAAACCAGTTCGGAAAAGTAGAAGACTATTGTGAGAAGTTTGAGTCTCTTTTGAGTCGAACCAACGGCGTCACACCCGAACAGAGCATTTGGCACTTCTGTGCTGGGTTGTCGAGTGTCATCCGGTATGAGGTGGAATACGCAAGGCCGACTACCTTGTATTTTTCCATGAATTTAGCAAGAAAAATTGAGCTTAAGGTGTCGGAGGAAGGCCGTATTAGGAGTTTTGGAGCCCCGCCGGCAGGTGGAAACCGAACAATAGGAGGGAGTAAAAACCGAGAAACCACCAGAAACATTGCTAAACCAAGAAACCCTACTTGGAAACGCCTTACAGCCCCCGAGATGGCTGAAAGGAGAGCTAAAGGACTCTGCTTCAACTGTGATGAGATGTTTTCGGCAGGACACAGGTGCGCTAAATTCTTTTGCATCATGCTGACAGATGATGATGAGGAAGGGGCAGAGGTAATCGTACCAGAAATTTTGCTGAATGCTATTACAGGCACTAAAAGTGACAAGACCTTCCAAGTACGGGCAGTTGTGGGGAATAGAGTGGCTTGGGTGTTGCTTGATAGTGGGAGCACCCACAAATTCATTGCTGCGAAAGCCGCAGAAGATCTCCAAATTCAAGTGCGACATCAGCCAGGTTTGCGCGTTGCGTTACCTGATGGTGGCAAAATGGCTAGCAACGGGGTAAGTCGTAACTTACACATGACGGTCCAAGGGTATGAATTCTCAGCTGATTTCTTTTCCATTCCATTAGAAGGATTTGATATTGTTTTAGGCATACATTGGCTTAAAAGTTTGGGCCCTATATTATGGGATTTTACAGTTAGAGAGATGGCTTTCAAAGTTAATAATAGGCTGATTAAATGGCATGGTGAATCCCCAGAGCCAGTCGCACTAACCACCCTAGGAGCATCGGGCGATTTGGCCCCCGACTTTGATGACCTACTTGGCTCTTTTGTAGATATATTTGAAAAACCTCAAGGGCTTCCACCTTCTCGTCCTTGTGACCACCAGATCCGACTTCATAATGGTACCGAACCTATTGCAGTTCGCCCTTACCGCTACCCCCACCTTCTTAAGGACGAAATCGAAAAGCAATGTGATGAGATGCTCCAAAATGGTACCATCAGACCCATCCAATCTCCATTTTCTTCACCGGTTCTTTTGGTTAAAAAACATGATGGCTCATGGAGATTTTGCGTAGATTATCGGGAATTAATCTCGAAAACGGTCAAAGATAAATTTCTCATTCCAGTGGTAGAAGAGCTCAGTGATGAATTACATGGAGCAACTTTCTTTTCAAAGTTGGATTTGGCCTCAGGCTACCATCAGGTTCGCATGGCAGCCACTGACATCGAGAAAACAACATTCCGCGCCCATCACGGACACTTTGAGTTTCTTGTAATGTCATTTGGCCTATCGAATGCGCCATCGACATTTAAGAGTTTAATGAATGATGTTTTCCGCCATCAACTTCGTAAGTATGTCTTAGTTTTTTTTATGACATTTTGATTTACAGTAAAACTGGAACAAAACATTATCGTTATCTTCAATCTGTCTTTGGTTTGCTGCGTGCTCATGGTCTGTTTCTAAAAAAATCAAAGTGTTCATTTGGTTGCAAAGAGGTGGCGTATTTGGGCCATATTATTCACCAAGATGGCGTTTCTGTTGACCAAAGTAAAATCCAAGCGATACAAGAATGGCCTAAACCACACAACATTCGAACCTTACGAGGATTCCTTGGCTTGGCGGGGTATTATCGCAAATTTATTCGCGATTATGGGATTATTGCTGCACCATTGACCGGCATGCTTAGACGAAATGGGTTTGTTTGGAGTGATGAATCGGACGCAGCCTTTACATACCTAAAACAAGCACTATCAGAATCACCCGTTCTCGCATTATCCGACTTTACTACTACCTTTATAGTCGAATGTGATGCCTCGGGTACTGGGGTAGGCGCGGTTCTCCAACAACATAACCACCCAATTGCATTTTTCAGCCGAAAGCTTGCAGATCGACACCATAAGCTTCCAACATATGAGCGGGAGTTGATTGGTTTGGCCAAAGCAGTCACTTATTGGCGTCCGTATTTGTGGGTCGTCATTTTATGATCAAAACGAATCATTATAGCTTGAAGTTTCTGCTGGAACAATGCCTTACCACATCACCACAACAACATTGGGTTAGTAAGCTTCTTGGGTTTGATTTTGAAGTTGAGTATTGGGCCGGGGCACTGAACCGGGCAGCCGACGCCTTATCAAGACGGGAGGAAGATATTCAACAATGTGACTTATACACGATAGCTCATGTCTGCACCGATGTTTTACCGGCTGTCCGGACCGAAATTGAAAAATCAGCCGTCCTTAGTGAATTGCGTGACCGAATTTTAGCAGGGGAAGAAAATGCCAAGTGGTCGGTGGTGAACGGGCTGATTCTCTACGAAGGACGAACATATTTACAACCAACATCCCCACTAATTGAAATAGGTCTTTCAGATATTCATGATGCCACCCATGAAGGAAATCAAAAAACTATGGAACGCATTCGACGGGAATTCTATTGGAAGGGTTGGAAGAAAAGGATTCAAGACTATATTCGCCATTGTCTCGTATGCCAATGAAACAAATGGGAAACACTACAACCAGCCGGTCTCTTACAGCCCCTGCCCATTCCGACGAGCATTTGGGCTGATGTGTCCATGGATTTTGTGGAAGCTCTTCCGAAAGTTTCGGGTAAATCAATACTTTTAGTCGTGGTAGACCGTTTCTCTAAATATGCCCATTTTTTGCCACTAGGACACCCTTATACGGCTGAATCTGTGGCCCGAGTTTTTTTTTTCTGAAATCGTTCGCCTGCATGGTCTTCCCGAAACCATAGTGTTTGATCGTGACAAAGTCTTCCAGAGTGCGTTATGGAAGGATTTATTTCGTTTATCAGAGACAAAACTATCTTTTTCAACAGCTTATCACCCACAGAGTGATGGCCAAACTGAGGTTGTTAATCGAACAATCGAAATGTACTTGAGATGTTTAACTGGGGATAGGCCTCGTCGGTGGCTGATGTGGTTACCATGGGCAGCGTATTGTTATAATACCTCTTATCACACGGCTCTCAAAACCACACCTTTCAAGCTTGTCTATGGAAGAGATCTGCCTAGTTTATTGAACTATGATGGAGGGCATTCTAAGGTAGAGGCAGTCGACCAAGCTTTACTTGATCGTGCGTCATTTTTACAAGAAACCACCATGCGTCTCTCGAAGGCACAACAACGCATGAAGTCAGCGTATGATGAGCATCATCGAGCATTGGAGTTTCAAGTGGGGGATTGGGTGTGGCTGAAGTTGCAGCCATATAGGCAATGGACAGTTTCTAAGGCAGCTTTCACCAAGTTGTCTCCAAAGTTTTATGGGCCCTTCGAAATAGTGGAACGAATTGGGGTGGTTGCGTATCGCTTGGCTTTACCAGAAGGGAGTCGTATCCACAATGTTTTCCATGTTTCCTTGCTAAAACCGCATCATGGATCTTCACCAACTATACTTACTGAATTACCACCTCTTTTGGATGGCAAAACATTGCTTGCTCCCTTTAAGGTACTACGAGGTCGTAACACTCAAGGCAAGCCAGAGTTGTTGGTTCAATGGGCTGCTGGAGCAGAGGAAAGTGCTACCTGGGAGGATTGGTAGACTTTTCAGGAGGCATATCCTGACTTTGAGCTTGAGGACAAGCTCAATATAGAGGAGGGGAGTAGTGTTATGGATGCTAAATATGGAAAGACCTACAAGTGTCGACCTAAGGAAGCTAAGGAGTAATTGGGTTCGATTTTGCTGCATGCTATTTTAGTTAAAGATTTCAATATATGTCTAGTTAATTAGAATATTTAGTTTCCTTTTTCCAGTATCTTGTTATCCCTATTTAAAGGGTCAATTATTATGAAATAAAGCATGCAATTATTCAGTCAAAACCCTAGCCGTATTCTTAGATTACTGATCAAGCTTAGTCTCCTTAGAGGGGGCTAGGCTAGTCTTTGTGAACGGATTCCAGCCGCACATACACATGTAGGATTACACGAGCAAGATCCCGGGCCATATCAGATACTTGCATCATACCACCTCCATGACCAATAAGAATATAAGAAGTTTAGAATAAGTGGATAAACTAGATGATATTAACTATTAATTAATAAGCAACAACTTTGCTTTCTAGCTGCCAATTACAGCTTGCTGTCACAGGCTCTTAAACGTAGAGAGATTACAGAATGCCACCTTTAAAATCTAGCATTTAATTCATTTATCCTACTAACATTGAAATTTGTCACTTAGAAGAATCCTATGAGTCTCAATCTCCCCCTGTTGGTGACTCCATTGATTCCTACTACCACTGCCAAGTGTTAGCAGCTTCTCCACGTGTTCGAATACAACATAGAGCCGTTTTACATCTTGGATTATTTCCATATCACCCGGTAGCTTGTTCGCTACCAATGCAATAAGTCAGATTAGAAAAAAGGACTATTTTACCCTTGTGTCTAAAAATTGTAAATGAGACATTACACATACCTTGCAAAGGCTTCAATGCAGAAGCAATGGTGAAGTATAATTGGTCGATTTTTATTGTCATGTTCTTTAACCCACCAAAGCTAGTCTGGTTAAGAGTGTCAGCTGCAGCTCTGAAAAGCAGTACACACCATTTGCTCCAGTAATTGATGTAGTGTTACTGTTTCCAGATAATGAAGTATCTGTATAGATATTGGATTATGTTAGTTTCATTGATCATGGAGGGTAAATGTGGAAAAATAAAAAAATGTACCTTTTCTCCTTCTCTATTTGGGTCCATAAAATCATCAAACAACAAAAAGTTAGGGGAATCATCAGAGATAAAAACATCATTTTATGTAGTACTTGAAGATAAGATGTCCTTCTCTAATTGCCCAAAGAAGCTCTGACAAAAATTATACACAATTTTCAGCAAAGAAATTTATTTTATATAATATCCTATATTTGATGTCACAATTTACAAAAGAATCGCCCAAGACTTCAACTGCAAGGAGCCTTTCTTCATGCATGTCTTCTGTCATAATTGGTGGATCCTATGATTTAAATAAATAAATAAAAACTGTCAATTTATTCATTGTGGAGATTAAAAAAAGAAAAAAGAAAGATAGCATGTGAAAATCAGATCAACCTGATTTAATGGAGCATGCATGTTGTCATGTGATTTCAAAAGCATCAAGGATTCCACTACACCTGCTGATCCCCTCCTCTCAACAGATGTCATACAAGTTGGGGTGCTATAAAATACATAACAAGAAAAGTTAAAAAAAATGATGGGAACTAACATGCAACAAATGAAAAGAACTTCATATACCGATAATGGTGTACATTAATGTTCAATAAATAAATAAAAAAAACAAGGAGCTCTCACTTTCTTATTTCACATGTCACTTTCCTTCACTAAACCTTCTTCTTTTGCTCCTGATGGATAAGAAAAGTCTTCATTAGCCTGCACTTCGGACAAATAAACCATTAACACAAAATATAAATCATAATCTCTCATCCTACAAACAAAAAAAATGTCAACCCACCTCAACACTAGGAGTATCACTACTGTTGTCACTGGTGTCCTCTAAAAAAGAATGCCAGATGGAAGTGCCTTAGGAAGAGAGTGGCCTTCCTTGTGTCTCTCCATGTGGAAGAGAGCAATACAAAATTCATTCAATGAAAGCATGATGTCATTGTCTTGATCAGATAAGTCCCATACCTATTTTAGGATATCTGAAACCCAAGAATAAGTATAAGATGAAGATGAAGATTTAAAGCAAATTGAGAAACTATCAACTGCCAAGTGTCAATAAATTTGTTGAAAGAAAATGATGCAATCAAATCCTAAAACACATAAATATGGATGAATTCAGAAAAACAAAGGAACAATCATGGTTTTAATTGGGAAAATCGCAAGAAGATGATGAAATCTGGAGTATAAGAATGTTACCTACAAATTCTGAGGGTTTTTCAGAGATGACAGTTCAAAGAGGTGGTGGTGAGAAACAACATATATGGAAGTGGTGGTGAGCAACGATTAACTATGATTCAAAAGTCATGAGAGGCCATGACTGAGTGAGCTCTAACTATGATTTAGAACCCTAAATTAAACACACAAAAACCACAAATCTTTATAGAAACAATCAACAAAAGAGTTGGCGATGGAAAAAAGAGTTCACAAACATATCTTACTAAGATGCAAGCTGAAGACAGAAGGGTTGGCAATGGTCTATGGCGGCAGCAGAAGAGTAGGAAATGGATGCTGACTGACGGCGGAAGAGTTGACGATGGAAGATATCAGCGACGAAGGATGCGGTTGACAATGGATGATATTCAATGACGTAAGGGTGAGTGTCGAAATGGCCTTTACGTTTTGAATAGTTCTTGAAAAAAAGCCCTAGAATCGTCCCTTTAATTTTGTGTGTGTGTGTGTGTGTGAGAGAGAGAGAGAGAGAATAGAGAAAGAGATAGCCATAAGTGTGTGTTCTTGAAAAAAGCCCTAGAATCGTCCCTTCAATTTCATGTTTTCAGATTCTTTATGCTGATCAGGGCGGCATCGGTTAGCGAGACGGTGGTTCTCATGGAGAAATTTTATTTCGAAAACATGTTGAAGGCGGTGGAGAAATATAAGGTCACGTACATACCTTGAAGCAGAGATGGTATGGTGATTAGGGTTTGTACATAGAAGGGAAGAAGAGAGTGAACAGATATCTTGAAGCGGGGTATTTAAAAATTAGAATTTTAAAGGATTTCATTTCAGAACGCGCGTTTTGAGTAAAAGTTTATAAAGCGACATTCACAGAGGATGCACAAGCGCCCTCCGTGTTTGTAATTTTTTTATGGGACAATAATTTTAGGGCACGCATGAATTCATGTCCTTTATCTTAAAAATTTTCAAAAGTGACATTGTTTTTTAGGGCACGCACAAATGCGTGTCCTCTATCAGTGCGCGTCATTGTTTGCGCGTCATTAAATGGCTGTTTTCTAGTAGTGTTTGGACGAATTCTTAAGGCCTTATCCCCAAGAATTCGTCCATCCTATCTCTAGGGTTTCCTCACCCTATTTTGCAACTATCCAATAATTACAAGTTCAGTCCCCTTAATTCAATTAACCACTTTTGACCACATAATTAATTCTTAATTAATTCTTGACCAATGTTAACTAAATAAATATGATTTCTCCTTTAATATATTATTCTTATAATATATTAATAAACCATAATAACCTCTTTCTCTATTATTCATCTAGTCAAGTTGCTTCGGTGAAGACAATCCAAAAGGACCATGCTACAACCGGGTCAAGTACATACCAAATATAGTTATGGACTTAGACACTAATCGAACAGTCTCCCACTTGGATAATTCTAATAACTATAAATGCAAGTACGACTTCAGGATCCGATTAGCAATCACAGCTCTCAAAGCCGTTATCAACTCTGATCTTATTAGTAACTTGTCCTTTAGATAAGGGATCGTATAATCCTCTGTTCTCATGATATCCTGCAGACAATTACATGGAACTTATTGTCCAGCAGTCTGCTTCTCGATCTCTGATCTGTCTTACATAGAACATAATTGAACACATCAACTCAGCCCTGACCGGGCCTGGCACATAAGTCAAACCAAATCATCGAGGGGCCAAAGATATCGCTTTTACCCTCTTAAGATAAAAGGAACATATAAACTTTTACTCATATGCATTTACCATTTACTCATCGAATCATACACTACAATGCATTTTATAAAATCAAGTTACTGATGCATTTACGCATTATCAATGCACAACCAATTCGCAAACAATAAACCATATATCTAGGTTTTAAGATTATATGATATTATCGTATCACAATCACTCGAGATTAATTCCATGAAGTGATTCAGGTGAGCGTGGGTTTATTCCAATGCTCAAATCTTATTCATAAGCACTCATGAGCGTTGTAGCAAACTTTTGCTATGTCTAAAACACTTTAGACAGTCTACACACCAATTCATGACAGTCTTCATTCATACCTACTTCCAAAGTATGATCGACAGTGGACTGTTTAAATAATCCTATTATTTGGGAAGTCAAAACATGCAAAGTGAAACAATAGCAAATAATTAACACAAGAAAGTAACTTTAGTTATAAGTAAAACACCTTTATTTAAATCAACAAGTGTTAATTACAATTTACTATTACCACTTTCTAAAACTATCTAATCTCTAAAACTAATATTGTCCTTCAGCCCGATGCTCCTAGCGTGCTGCAAGTGCTTAACCCTACTCAGTCCCTTCGTAAGGGGATCTGCTGGGTTATCTTCCGACGATACCCTCTTCACTACGAGGAGTCCATATTCTACCCAATGCCTAATAAAGTGATATTTTCTGTCAATATGTATGGATCTACCGTGATCCCTCGGTTCCTTAGTCAAGGCAACCGCACCTTCGTTATCACATAAAATCTCCATAGGCTCCTTTATGGCTGGCACAACTCCAAGGTCTCCGATGAAGTTCTTCAACCATATTGCCTCCTTCGACGCTTCGCTCGCTGCAATGTACTCTGATTCGCACGTTGAATCAACTACGGTCTCCTGCTTGGAACTCTTCCAAGTCACTGCTCATCCATTAAGGGTAAAGGCCCAGTCCGACTAAGACCGGAAGTTGTCTTCATAGCGAAACACTTCCCAAGCCAGGACTTGACCTCCTGCAAGGTTGGGACGTTGTCTCCTATGAGTAGTATGCCGTCGACATACAAAATGAGAAAACTAACTATACTCCCACTGGATTTGACATACACACAGGACTCATCCTCGTTTCTCGAAAATCCGAACTCTTTGACTTTCTCATCGAAACAAAGATTCAATCTGCGAGACGCTTGTTTCAGTCCATAAATTGACTTTTCAAGATTACACACTCTATTAGGGTGCTTCGCATCGACAAAACCCTCTGGCTGACTCATTTAAACATCCTCAGCCAACTTTCCATTAAGGAAAGCGGTTTTGACGTCCATCTGCCATATCTCATAATCATGAAATGCAGCAATGGCGAGCATCACCTTTATAGACTTTATCTTTGCTACTGGTAAGAAGGTCCCATCATAGTCAACTCCAGGAGTTTGAGTAAAGCCCTTCACAACCAATCGTGCTTTATAAGTGTCTACTTTCCCATCCATGTCGGTCTTCTTCTTGAAGATCCATTTGCACCCGACCGTCTTACGACCTGGCACATTGTCAACCAAATTCCAAACTTGGTTGTCGTACATGGATTGGATCTCGCTGTCCATAGCCTCTTTCCACTTCCCAGACTCCGGGCCTTCCATGGCTTCCTTGTAGCTGTTAGGTTCATCCAAATTCACTAGTGTGCTATCACTAATGAACGTATCACCTTCATTTGTTATATGAAAACCATACAACACAAGTGGAACACTTACTCTACTGGAACGTCTGAGAGGTAAGGACTCATCAATTGGTTCAACAGGAGTTTCTCCTCAAGTTGAGTGCCAGTGTTAGAGGTTCCTTCATCGCTTGATTCTTAAAGATCTTCAAGATCAATTTGCCTCCCACTATCCTCTTAGCTTATGAGTTCTCGTTCTCGGAAAACCCCTCTCCTCGCAACGAAGACTACATTGTCCTTCGGTCTATATAAGAGATATCCAAAAGACTTCTGTGGGTAGCCGATGAAAATACATCACTCACTACGAGGTTCAAGCTTATCGTGAGTCTCTCGTCCGACGAAAGCCTCGCAAACCCAAACCTTGATATGTGCCAACGAGGGAGCTTTCCCTGTCCACATGGCGTGAGGAGTTTTGGCATCCTTCTTGGTAGGGACTAGGTTAAGGGTATGGGCGGCAGTCTCTAAGGCATACCCCTAGAATGAGATAGACAATGAAGCCCGACTCATCATGGAACGAACCATGTCTAACAAGGTCCGATTGCGCCTTTCGGCCACACCATTCAATTGGGGTGTCCTAGGAGGCGTCAATTGTGAAACAATTCCATATTTCCTTAGATAGTCGTGGAATTCAACACTAAGATACTATCATCCTCGATCGGATCTTAGCATCTTAATTTCCTGCCCAACTGATTCTCCACTTCTGACTTAAACTCCTTGAACTTTTCAAAAGTTTCTGACTTTTGCTTGATCAAGTAGATATACCCATATCTGCTATAATCATCAGTAAAAGTCACATAGAAGCGACCTGTATCCTTTGTGGTGGATCTAAAGGTTCCACATACATTAGTATGTATGAGATCCAGT